GGTGGCGCTACTTCTCTCGAGTGGGCTCTGAAGTGCAGCAGCTCCACCGAGAAGCTTCACCGAGTTGGCAGTTTGACTCCAACCTTTCGGACGAACGGAATGGTGCAAAAGCTCAAGCATTGCTCTTTTGATTCATGGCTCACTTGTGATTGTGCGATAGTCATGTCACCTGAGTCTGTGCCAAGTGGTTTTTGCCAGGAGCCCGACTGCATCCTTCCTTTTGCTTTGCTGCTTCCCCTGCCCAAGCCCGACCCGTGGGACGCACCCCCGCCTAAGGCGTCCTCCACCCCATGCATTGCAAGAAAAGAGCGGGAAAACACTGATCCAGTCGTGGGCGCCATAGACCTCGACGATGACATGGACCAGGGCCAGGAAGATGAAGAAATGGAGGAGGTAAGCAACGACACAGGCAAGAAGGAGGCTCTGTCGGAACCCTACGGATAAGGACGCTTCTCCGGCCTTCAGTGAGGAGGACCGACACCGTGACAGTTTGTTCCAGTGTGTCACTCTTATCTTCGGCGCCAGGGTATCCAGCTTCCATTGTGCGCGAGCAGCCGGCTTGCTGCTTCGCCTTCTGAAGTGCTTTGTCAATGTTCGCCATTCCGGCCTTATTTACGTTCAAGACTTTCTCTCGATATTTAACCGTTTGTCCGCCCCGCTTTGGGCTTCCGTGATCGTCGCTCTTCTTCTCTGTATCAAGGTTTCGATGAGAACCCGGACCTATGGCAGCGGCTCTGTGATGGTGTTGACGCGAGCCTGGTGCTCGCTCGGTCCGTCGGAGTTGCCGCTCTGTCGCCTGGCTCTGGTCCTCTGCGAGTGGTCATACCCGAATTCCGACACGTTTGGGTTCCCCCTCGTGGGCCTCTTGCAGACTATCCGATTCCTCTCGCGAGGTCGTCAGCATGTGGCTGGCTGTTCTTTCAGAACACTTTCTCTCGTGCAAAGATGCTTGCGTTATTTCCATGGTTTCTGCCTGATTGATCCTTGCAGTCTTACATACCCACGTGGGAGCTTGCCGCTCAAGGTGCCCTACTGCTGATGCTGCATCAGCTTCTTGGAACAGGCACTTGCCGGTCCATGTGGTTTCTCGCTCGGACAACTCCGCTTCTGAATCTGCTTCATGGAAGGGCCTGAGCATGGCTATTCCGTCCGTATAGATCATGTTCCGGGCATTTCCAGCGAGGTCGCGGACTCGCTTCGCCGTGATGCTAACCCGTCCGATTTGGGTTTCTTGCCCTGTCAGGTGTTTCAGGTGGATCGGACCGCGTGCCGTTGCGTGATTGTCCTTGGGGCGGTTCCCCTGGCGGGCCAAGTGTGCGGCTCGATGTTACTTGGTCCGACCGCCCACGAACAGGAGCCGGTTCCGACCGCTCCTCTGTTTCTCGCACCGAGTCCGTTTCACAGACTCCGGCTTTTCGGCAGCGGCTTGAAAAAGACGGTGTCTGCCTGTGAGGCTTCGCTTCGACTGCCCGAGTTAGGCTTGTTTCTACTATTCGGGAAACGGAGTCCGACAGAATTCAACAGTATGCAGTTCACTTTTCACATTGTCCAGTTCGCTGCAACAGCAAGCAGCTTCTAGGTGCTTCCTAACTACTTTGCAACTACGTGCTCGTATCGATTAGTTCGCGCCAACATTCTGTTCATCAAGACTGGCCCTTCGCGGGGAAGGTTGCTGCCAACTACGAAGACCGCAAGCGCAGCTTCCAGGACACGGACACCCTTTGCCGAGGCCAGGGCTTGCAGTTCGTTCCCCTCGTTGCCGAAGCCACTGGGGGGGGCTGGGGTCCGACTGCGGTCAAGACCTGGCGTGAGCTTGGCGGGCTTTATGCCGCCCGCCTTGGCCTGACAGCCAGCGAGGGCACAGAGCAGCTTCTCCAGTCGCTCAGCGTAACGCTGCAGCGAGAAAACGCCCGGGCGGTTCTCCGCCGCCTGCCCGAGGCCGGCGAGGAGGGCCGCGGGCCTCTTTTGGAGCCGTGAGCGCGTAGTTGTCGTTTTGCTGTGCTCTCTGCTTCCTTCCCGCGCTCATGCTCGCTTTTCATCAGCCTTTCACCCGCCTGAGCCGGGGGGCGGCTCTGCCGCACCTAGGCCGGGGCTGTCTTCCTTTCGCCTGACTGTGCCGGGGGGCGGCTCTGCCGCACCTTGGGCCCGGGCTGTCTTCCTTTCGCCTGACTGCGCCGGGGGGCGGTTCAGCCGCACCCTAGGCCGGGGCCTTCTCTCCTTTCAAGCTTCTCCCTTTACAGTTCGGAATTTCGGATACTTGAAGAGGCGGAAACCCTAAACCCAAAACCCCTAAACCCGAAGCCCTAGAAGCCCTAACCCTAAACCCTCTAAACCCCTAAATCCCCCACCACGTTACCTCTATAGAATGGGGGGGGTTAGGGCCTGCATAAAGCAGCTATTTTATACAGATTGCGGGGGTTGGACCCCTCATTTTATAGAGGCGCTGCTTCTTGAAGAGTTTCGGTTACATCGGTGCTCGGTTTCATGACTGCCCGGAGTGGTT